GGGACTGACGAATTTGTTTCAATCAGATCTAACGTGCTCTACTTACCTTCTCACTGCTGGATTCAGTGACAAGATAACTCTTTAATAAATAGATTTCACAATTTGTTTCTTCTTATATTTGGATTCAGAGTCGATTTCATGATCCTTAACATTAACCACGACTGATCAAATAACCGTTTTAAAATTTTTGTATATAGTTCTTACATGCTATTCGTGAATCATATACAATTGTTTCATGCGTTATTCAATCTAGTTCTACGTAAAATGTTTTTTCCATTTAATTGAAAAGAGTGTCTCTAACACTAGTCATTTGTCCTAACACGATAGAAATAGTTACGAATGAGCGTCGGTAGATTTAGTGTGAACTACGTTTGTTCTCTTTCACTTATCTAGGTATAGAGTAGCGTCCTCAATTCAGTTTTTTAATATTTCTATGTACTTATACAAATGTATAACAGTTAACTTTTTATCGAAACGCAGTTACAACCAATATAGTATCTGAGACGCCATTATTGGGCGATATCGGGTATTTTATTCCACAGCTGAGTGTCACGATGTAATTACATGTGGCTGTTACGGTTTCTGTTTACGAGGGCTCGTGGAAGTTTATGATTAAATACTCGTAGTTCTGGACCCTATCCGGTACGTTCCGAACTTCTTTAACGTCTTTCCTCCTCGAAACGAGGCGATTCTAGCGCTTCCCGCGCTACAAATTTTTCCGGTTCGAGGAGGGCACGTAAGGGAATTCCTACGATTCCTGGAACACCATTTTCTTTCGTTATTACGGCCAACTTACGGGAGCATCTGGCCACGCTGATGGCGCTATTAACGAAAGGAACTGCTGTAACGGAGTCGGTATCATACCAGCCACTTTAAACTTGTTTGCCCGCCATGAGCCGATTACGTAAACGCGGACGGATTGTGTGCTTCTTAAAGAACGATTACAATGCTCGTGGCAGTATCATAACTGACGATTTTATCGTCCCTCGCGATTCTCCCGGTAGCTGTGAAATGCTGGAAGTCTCAGTCTATAAACTAACAGGTTTGTTAAAGTTCTTGCACGTTTTACGAGGACGAATTTTGTATGGTTAGATATGCGTTGAAATATATAGAATCTATTAAATTAAATTAGTATCGTTACGATTTACAGATATATGTTGTTCAAGTGGTTTCAAGAAAGTGCACGATAATAAAATTTCTCCTAAAAATTCTACCTAAACACTTTTTGATGTTTTATTTGCACGACGAGTAAGGCATTGTAGCAGGCACTTCTTTTATCGAAGAGACGAAGCTTGAAAAGCACTGCCCCGTAAATATACAGAGAATGGGATAACAAAACACACATCTCTGGAGTTTTTCAGAACTCCATTCTATCGGAAAGGGTTCGTCGAAATAGTGATAAAAACGTTCCTTTGAATAGCAGTGCAGGGCCAACAGACGTCGAAATTTTCAACGATTCCGTTCCCCATGTCGCGGCTAATTTCCTTGCTCGTGTAATTAGCTCGCAGGAACGGCAGACAATTAGCGAACTCGAGGCGATCACGGGATCAGTCGACGAAGGAAGGTCGGTAATAACTTTATTCGGACGAAATCTTGACCGAGGACGGCTACGTTGCGGGGAATTTCGGCTTGCGCGACGTAGGTCTGCGGATAGACGAAAAGGGGTTGAAGAGGGGGGGGGGAGGACGAAGCCAGGACATTGTTAACAGCATTGCTGCCTAATTAACCGCAAACGCTTTCAGTGGGTTTCGCTCGGTCTATTGTTTACATGCGGGCATGCCGCCTGTATGATAGTGCTCGACGACCGAACCAGCTGAAATATTTCCATGGAGATTCTCTGCCGCTTTGTGTCACGCATACACGCGTCTGTCTGGAACGGAGTGTAGCTACCACAGAGTACGCCGATGGTTACGACCACTCGCGGCATTAGCCTTCGGGGACACGTCCAAAGTAAACTGGTCGATACCTAGACTTTTCATCAGAGAAAATTTCTTCGCAATTATCGCGTTCCTTTCACGAGTTCTGGATGAAACTTGAATAATTTCTTTCAGTTTCTGAAACATAGCGAAACCTTCACTACCGTAACATTGATTATTGGATGGGAGCCTTGTTAATTTAAATTCACTCATCAATAAAAATAATGACCAATGGATGCAATAATTTTTTTATTCCTTTGGGATTGCAAGGACAATCTCTTAAACTAATTTCTCAGATTTTTTGAACGATATTCACATCAACAAAGTAACGAGCTATCGTTCGCATGAGGAGAACGCAAAATAAAGAGTTACAGGCTGTCGGGGGCACGATTCGCCCGCGGCGGGGTCAGGTTTCATTAATTTTAATTGGCGAAGGGAATCCGCGCGATATCAGGGGAAAAAAGGATCACTGGAAGAAAGAATTTCATTTCGAGGCGATTACCGTGATAACGAGCTTTGAAAATCAAGGAAATTGTATCAGAGCCGCGGCTGATAAGTCACCCAAAGCCCACTCCAGTTAGTGACTGAACCACAGCGAGTGATAATAAGCCACTCGGAGTACACGGTTTGCTCGTTCGCCGATATCCTTAATTCCGAAAACCGGTTGCACGGTAAATAGAGCTTGAAATTAAACTCGGGCAGCTTTCTTATCGGCCGAAGAATCTCCATGCCGTACATAATGCGATCTTGTTATCGGGTCGCGTTATTTTTAGCTGGAATTACACGCGCACACGTATACCCCAACACAGTATCTCTCAAGCTTCATCTTCGCGTGGATCTCACTGATAAATACAGAGTAGCATCCCGGACTCCTTGAAGTAGAATTAAATTTTTAGTTTTTGTAAGGAAATCGCTTTACATAATTTTTCAAAACCAGTACATGTCCCTCACTCGAGGGGGTGTACTCAAATTGGATATTTCGTATTACTCTGAACAGAAGTAAAATGAAAAATGATAAATGACGATGCACAAAACTGTATCGATTACACCAAGAAATCTGAGTTGCTCCAATTTGTAAAATTGGTTACTTTCTACGATCTTTTTCAATGTTTTTACTACTGCCGACAAAGAACTTTTTTAATGGGTTTTTTTAATGAGCATAAAATACTACGGGAGACATATTTTACATGTCTCTATAGAACACGATCCTTCACAAAAATTGTGACAATGTTAGTTACATAAATTTTCAACGGGTGCTTTTAATTAAAATAGACCACGAGAGGTACGTTTTTTTTTTTATCGAGAATATGCTTCTTTATAAAAGTTGTCCCGTGGTATTATAAATAATGTGAGAGAAAATATGTTTGAAATTTTCTGAACAATAGAAAAACAGTTTTTACGACTCGTGTTTTTACTACATTCTCCGGGCGTTGAATTAAAAACGCATTTCGTGCTCGACATTATTCTTGGTGTTCCAAAACAAAATATGCGTGTGTTATTTTGAAAAAAAAAACTCCTTTCCATTATCAGAAGCTTGAATTTTGGAGTCCTTGTTTATAGACGAGTTCAAATTATAATAATTCGATGAACACAAAGGACTCTGGTTAGGTTCGTATTACTTCGAAAACAGATAAACATTTCTACCTAAGCTAGTGTCATAAACGATCGAATGGATTATACCTAATAAATTGTTAACATGGTACGCAACCTTCAATTCACGTTTCGCAAATGATTCGGAACTGAAATCTTGAATACGCAACTCGTCGGAACGAGCGTTCCCCAGAGAATTTTTTCAGCTGGAACACTCGTCGAAGATTGAACGCGTTACGCTCATCAAGCTGCACGGGTGTACATAGTGGAACATCCATAATAATGCTGCACGCCTGGACGACTGCGGGATGCAGGGGGCAGCAATCGAAACTGCTTTTCCCCGTTGTTCTCGGCGACGATGTAAATGGGTCAGAACCGCCGCGCGATGATTAAACACCGATTGCTGTCACTCTCTCTCTCTCTCTCTCACACACACACTCCCCCCTCCCTCTCTCTCTTTATTTTTTCCATCGTTGCATTCCACACTCAACGCGTCGAAAGCCATTATGGCAGAAAGCTGCTCGATACACATAAACGATTATAAATAACTCGAAATCGATAGTGAAAAAAGCCCCCCCGGTTAAACGATCGCTCGTAAATCAATCCAGGCGTCATTAATTTATACACGAACACCCCGTCGATACCCATGTGGAACCAGCGTGCGGAACGAGCACCGCAGAAAAAGAGGATTCATTAATTATTTTTTTACGCCTCGCGTATTGGAAAACCGGTAGGGGGGAGAATATATTCTCCTATAATTGAAGAAGGGGGAAGAGGTGAGCAAGAGAAAGGTATAAGCACGTTCCTCTTGATAGGACATTCCGGTTTGAAGCTTTGAAATTAGGGAACTCAAAAAGAAAATAGTTAAAATATTTGAAGAATCGTATAGTCGGTTTCTTGATATTCATTAATCTAAGAGACCAGCCGATTATACTTGATTGACAATTCTCTGTGTCAGCATAAATGTATACACGATACTCTGAGAAACTCAAACAGCATACATTTTCTATTCTAATTGCAGGCAAATAAAATTTCACTTTTTATGTTTTTTCTTTCTTCCTTTCAATACAGCAAAAAATACTTCATCATACCATAGTCCAGAATTTATCAAAACTTCACAGATGACTCCATTCATCTAATACAAACGATTATCAAAGTCGAGACTTTAAATATGCATTCTACTTTCCAGTTGCAAGAAAAAGCAATTCCTTCAAGACAACCGGGAGTGCCTCTCTAAATATCATCCTTATTGCTTATTCAATGAACAACCAAAGCTCGGTATCTCTGTTTACGAGAGGTACCGCGTTAAAGATTCTCCGTGTATTCTTGTCGGACATGCGCCTGTAGTATACATGTATATATGCGTGTGTGTGTGTGTGTATGTGTATGATGCACGTGATTCCCTCGTAAATGTGGAATATGCTCGTGCAACGAGAATATTTCTGCGCCGGAACCGTCGTAATAATTCTTGCCCGTAATTCCTCGGTTTCTCAGGCTGAGACAAGACAAGGGCGGCGGCGCCTGGTGCCCGAAAAATATGGTCACGAAGGAGGGCAAGGAGTACTTGGAGGTGAATCTGCACAACCCACGTGTACTAACGTCTACCAGGACCCAGGGTAGATACGGGAACGGCCACGGGGTCGAGTACACCGAAGAGTACTTCGTCGAATATTGGCGACCCGGGTTCAACAAGTGGGTGCGATGGAGAAATCGACGTGGCATGGAGGTACGTACATACCTGCTGGCTGCTGTCGGCTGCCGATCGATTCGCGTCGGACTTTTTTTCCACCCTAACCCGACCATCCCTCCTCGTCCCGAGTTCGCAGCCACTCGTGTTCGTGACTGACTGCCTCTTTTACATTCGTTATGAATGCGACGCTCGTGGGATACGCGGTGTCGTCCGATTTGCTTGGACTGGCCGTAATCGATCGTTGGGTCTCGTTACACTAGGAATTTTTCATCCCCTTGACCTCATTGGGGTACGAAATCTTGTTGGAGTAATTCACAATGTAGCTATTAGTCTTCATTTGGTTCCAGTGTGTAATTTTCCGGCCTTGCTCACCGTCACATATAATAATCTTGCCATTGTATAAGTACAGAATATCTATCAAAATAGTTCTTGCTTCGTCACGTTAGAAGGTGGCAAGAAGTATTTTGAGAAATGAGCGCGAGAAGGTTAGGGACCAACCGCGTTACACGGCGCACGGTATCATAACAATGTCTCCAGATGCAACTTGCATCGTGCCATAGCGTAAAGCTAGCTGGAGTTTGTTCGCTTGGAACTTACGCAATATGCCGCAGCAATTTACCTCGCTGGTGGTGTGTTTATGAGATGCCAAGGATTGTTGTTCTAGAATATTGCGCATTTTATGTAAGCGTCTCTTCAGATCGTGTAACAACCCTCGTTCTGTCCTTATTGCCAAAGGATATGGAGATAATATTAATACGGGTTTACTATTATTTCACGTATATCAAGTTATGGAGAGATACAAAAAGAAATTATTTGATTTTGGTGCAAGGAAATGTATTCGACAGCACTTGTAAGTAGTAGTGGATTGTATATGGTCAGACACGCTCTGGGTCCAGTTTAAGGACTGTCTTCTTGTAACCGATAACACAAAAATTATTTTTAAAATTGTTCTATCGATCAATTAATCAAGATTCATATCTCAAATCATACGCGAATACCAACGAAATTTAATTAATTTCTCCGAACCAATTCTTATGGTTATATACGAAAGAAAAGTCATGGAATTCTGGGATCGACGATTCAGTCCCGAGTTCGACGAACTCATCCGCAGGTTCGGTTCTTTTTCAGATTTCATGCGACTCTCGGGCAAATATTATCGGTATGGAGCCGGCGAACGAAATTAAATTCACTCTCGATTAAGATCGATCTTCGACGCGAACTTGCTGTTCGATGTCGGTGCGTCGTATCCAATCTTCCGCCGTGTTTACCCATTGGAACTTCATTTACAAATACACGTCGTTGATCGTCTTCGTTGCACGTCCTGTAAGCGTTATCAAGTATGTTGAGAATGACAGAAAAAGTTTTGATGAGATGTAAGCTTGATAATGTAAGCAATAGTACAGGAAGTGTCCATGACTGGGTCATCGTCGATTACTGACGCGTTTACCTTACGATGGACCAATTGTAAAGCAATTTCACGGCGGTAGACCCTGGCCGACAGAATTAATGCGGTGCCACTCTTTATAATTGCTCTCGTCAAGAAAACGGATTACAGGTTCATCTTATGCTGGCCGGGACAAAGCGTCGTCGGCGTAATTCCATTCTTTTGAACGGGGAAATCTGCGCGTATCGCGGAAGCTTTCGTACCGATAGCCCTGAGGCTGTCCGCCATTTGTATTCTTGGTCTGGTGTATTCTCCGTAACCTGGTTCTCGCCGAGTAGAAATATTCACATTGCGTTCAATGCCTTCTAAACAGCGTAAACCTAAATTCTAACTCTTACATACTCGTTCAAATTATCGTTTGATCTGATAAATTTTAATGAAGCTTGGTATTTTCTGGCTAGCTTGTATAGGACTCGTTTATTATGTAGATGAAGACGTCAAAAAGAGCTTTATTTGTTAGAAGGTTTCAACCCTTGGCTTTGAGTCATCTTTAAACTTATAAATGTTACTATTGCTTCAGATATGGACAAATATTTCGGTGTTTTTCTTTATATATAATATCATCCTCTTTTTAAGTGTAAAAAGCACATATTGACCAAATTTTACTCTCACGATTAGTTTTAAAACTAGATCCTTCGTTTAAATGCTGTAAATACAACGAAAGGAAACAGAGAAACGGAAATCAGTGAAGTCCACCATTTCACGAGAACATGCTTTCGTCTCGATAGCCCCGAGGCCGTTCGCCATTTGCATTCCCGGATAGTGTGTCTCCAACCCCGGGTTGCCGTCGAGTAGACGTATCTGTATCGTATCGGGCAGTGCCCTGTAACCAGTGTAAACGGCCGTTACAACGGGCGACGTGTTAATTAACGTCTCTTTAGCATGATAATCTGTACGCGATATCCATTAGCTCGTCAAAATACATCACGCCGGTAAAGCGATTTACCGACGACGATGAAATTACTGGGAACAGGCTCTTCGAGCCGTCGCCTTAAATTATTATTACGTGCTCATGCGAGCGGTTGCATTCGATGGGACCGAGACGGTCACTCGCGATAATGACGGGGATGAAGTTCATACGTCTGAACGTGGCGTCGGGATCACGAGATGAGGAGAATGTTATCATTATCGATGCATTGGACACCGATCGAAAGGTTGTGATTGATTTGTGAAATATTTAATACAATGTAGGATTCTATTTAAATCAATATTAAAATGAAAGTTATTGTTATTCCTCTTCAATTAATAATAATTGTTAGAGAAACCTATCCCCTTCTTTATCAATATGTGAGAGCAGATAAACTCTGAGAATTCCTAATCTTCGCTATATACTTTCACCTTCCATGGTGTCACGTTATTTGTTAATAATTATCGAGTAGCGCGATCGGAGAATAAATTGGTAAACACGTCAATAGTCCGGCGAGAACCAGACTGACTTTTGTTCTCTAACCACGACCCGTATCGGCAAATGGAATTTTAATGGATGCACAATAAACCGACTGCATTTATTCCACTCGTCGAAACAGCGTGGTTATAATCAATCGTAACGAGCGCAGACCATTTTTCAATTTCTCGAGAACGGACCATGAATTGCGTGTCTAACCGTAAATGGACGGAACACTTTGTCTTTATCAATAGTGTCGATTCGCGTCGATCGATAAACGAATGTTTCCCGTCTATGGTACGTGGTGTCCATGTTTATAGTAAAACGTGGATTTTTATTTCGGTACACTGTTTGTCTAAAAGTCTAATTAGCAATCGACAAATACTGCATCATTAATTTTGTTCAATCAACGTTTAATTCCAGGTTGACTCTGCTATCCTCGGAAAGTTATTCTCAACTTCGGACCAAGTTCCACTCGCGAGTATGCTGGATCCTCGTTATTCAACGAGACCCCGTTGTCATCGAAAGCTTTCAGATGTTCTCCATGGCTTGCTGATTCTCTCCTATTCGCGTTGTCTCTCTTGAAAACGCATACACAGCCGCTGTTTCGAGTACACATAACATACCCCCATCCCCTTCATTCTTCATCGAGCTTCGTACCCAGACGTTCTTCCCATTTTCACGCAGATTTGCTCAAAGCGAGAGAGCAGCTTGGATTCAGCCCGCGCGAGAAAGCCACGTAGGAGCGTACGAATGAGGGGGAAACCAGGGTCTCTTACATAGGACAAACAAAATCTGCCCGCTGTCTACATTTAGTTCGTATTCAACCAAAGATTCGATCAATATGCACTGTACGATTAATGAGTGAAAAAAATCTGAATCGTACTTATGGAATTTTTGAAACCAGAATAATTCAGTGCCTAGCTGATCGAAATTTATAGCTTTTTAAAAAAATAGCGTCATCAAATCTCTGAGACTTTTCCACCTGAAATATTCCCTTCAATCATTACTAATATCAGGATGCATTGTGTTTCTCTTTGCTGTAGTAAATTCCCTACAAATACATATATACACGAAGTGTATTACCCGATCGCACCCCTATTTACATTATACGTATACGCAGCTCGCAGTACTAGTGGCCTAGGGGACTACGGAATCTTAATCCGTGTCTGAGGGGGCGGGAGTGGTCGCGGATAGAGCGAGAAGGGAGGATTTAAGAGGAAACGGAAGTTAGAGGAGGATAAGAGAGAACACGAACGTTTACCCTGCAGCCTCAATCTGGGCGGCATGTGATCTTTGTGCACCGGCTCTTTTCCTTTACTCCTTGCACTTTGAATACAACCAGGAAGAACGAAAGAGCCTGACGGTGAACGAAACCGACAGGCTGCAGCGGAAACGAGAGAGACGAGAACAGACGTAGATGAAAAAAGGGGAAAAGCAAAACGACTGTGTTATCGCCCCGTTGTACGTGACCCGGCGCTCCGCAGGCATTTTTCTACGGCAGAAGTAGTCGCCACTCCCACGAATAAGGGGTGAACGGGCAACTGGAAGGCGAAACGAGAAACGGCTTTTCCGTTTCCGATCGACCGTACGGAACATTTCCATGCCGTCGCGATTTCCTTTGCCGTCCCTCTCCCCGCGATATATTAAATAAGAACGAAAAGAGGAGAGATCCGGGGGCGAGAAAACATTTCCAAGTGGTTCTACCGAACGGTTTACGAGGGAACACGTATGGATCCAGGATAACTTGTATTCAGGGGCTTCGAACTGAGGGATGTGGAATGTCTGGGAGCGAATAAACACGCGTGATAAAAGTATAACGAGCAATGTTTCCCCGGAAAGCATGTCTACATCCATTTTCCTCGCGAATCTATCCTCCTGTTCGTAAAATGTGTTAAAGCAGCGTTTCTTAAAGTGAAACAGTTTTGGAGGACTCTCACATGTAGAATTAACATTTTTAACCCTCCTTTCCTACGGTCGGGTCAAAAGCAACCGACATATTAGTTCCATGTCGCGTAGCGAATATTTGTTATTTAACAGCACCTTGAAGAACTATTTCCCCGTTTAAAATACTTTTATGGTTTATCGTTCAAATGAAAGTACAGCATTTTGTTCACCACGCGAAGATAAATGTATCATGAATTCACGCTGACAAGACTCGGACAAATTAAGCCGAAAAGGAGGCACCCCATTTAGATTCAAAGGGGG